TGTGTTTTCTCTGTGTATATATGCATATATATGTGTGTGTGTATATATATATGTGTGTGTGTGTGTGTGTGTTTGTGTATATATGTATTTTTGCGCATGCATTGTAATTTATTTTTGTTTTTTGGCTTTTTAAGTCTCTTCTGGTGTGTTTTTCAGTGTTTTTATGAGTGATGGTCACTCGTTGGCCTGAGAGGTGTCTTGTGTCCAAATTTGGTGTCAATTCGTCCAGTTGTTTTTGAGTTATGTTAATCCCATAAACAAACATGACATTTTTATTTATATAGATATGTATATTTATATCATATGCATATGCACATTTAGATTTTCACTAGCTTGGGTTCCCAGTGGTGGCCAGGTTAGGGATTTTGAGAAGAGAAACATTCAAAGTAGTAATTGCTTGATAATAATAATAATAATAATAATAATAATAATAATACTTTTATTTCTTGCTTGCCTCATGACTTGAGGCGGGTTACAGAATAATTTAAACACATAAACATTGCAGAAAGACTACAAATACACATCTTAAAAGGTATTTTTAGAAAATGCACAAGGATTTGGGTAAACTACAACTTCCATCATCCTCTGTCTTTTCCCCTAAACCCCACCGGTAATTACCAAGTTTAGTCAAGATCTATTATCGGTGGGGATCACAGGGCTTCCTAGGTGTCGGGGTGTATCCGAAAAACCAGCTCCCCTGCCTGTGGCCTGCAGGGTTTGATCCTCCCAGGAATGTTTGGGGTTGGGCTGGGGCTGAGACCCAGTTTGGATCTGTAAAAATGTTATAAATGTATAGTTATTATAATTAGAGGAGGGTGGATGGATTTCTCAATAACACAAGGCCAAGGCAGTTCTCTCCCCAGTGTTTTGGGGCCAGAAACGCACAGGCATATTCCAGGTTTCCTGAAGAGCTTCCTCCCAGCTGGAGTTGGCAATGGCAAGACCACCCACCAGCCTCTCCCGCATCACTGCCCTTTGGATCACTCTGGGCCCAGTTTGCCGTGAGAGCCCTGCTGTTGCAATTATGGCACTTTTGGAGAATTTGGCAGGGGCTGCCTGCAGGAATTAACCCTTGCGTTATATACTATTTTGATTTTGCATTTTATGTATTTGGCTCGTTTTATTGCGTTTTGTGTTATATCGATACAATACAAGCTTGTATTGTACATGAGGCCACAGTTATGCCCAACTGTGGCCTCATGTAAGCTGCACCGAGTCCCCCGGGGGAGATGGAGCGGGGTATAAATAAAGTTTTATTATTATTACTAGCTGTCCCCTGCCAGGCGTTGCTGTGGCCCAGTCTGGTGATCTGGAAAATAAAGTATTGAGAAAGTGTTGGTTTCTAATATATGTAATGTCTTTCTGCTTGTGGGTAAACAGTATTTCTTGCTGTTTCTTTGCCAGTGTTAATGTCTGGTTTGCCTACTCTGGGACATGCAACATATCATTGCCCTTCTTTAGGGGTCCCTTTCAAATCTTTGATACTGCATCTGTCATATACATATATGTGTGTGAATGGCTGGATGGCCCTTTGTCAGGAGGGCTTTGATTATGTTTTCTTGCCCTGGTGAAGGGAGTTGGACTGGATGGCCTTAAGGCAGCATTTCTCAACCTCGGGTTTTGGACCCTGGGGGGAGGGGTTGCGAGGAGGTGTCAGAAGGGTTGCCAAAGACCACCGGAAAACACAGTATTTTCTGTTGGTCATGAGGGTTCTGTGTGGGAAGTTTGCCCCAATTCTGTCATTGGTGAGCTCAGAATGCTCCTTGATTGTAGGTGAACTATAAATCCCAGTAACTACAACTCCCAAATGTCAAGGTCTATTTCCCCAAACTCCATCTGTGTTTATATTGGGCATATTGAGTATTCGTGCCAAGTTTGATCCAGATCCATCATTGTTTGAGTCCACAGTGCTCTCTGGATGTAGGTGAACTACAACTCCAAAACTCAAGGTCAATGCCCACCAAACCCTTCCATAGTTTTCTGTTGGTCATGGGAGTTCTGTGTGCTAAGTTTGGTTCAATTCCATTATTGATGGAGTTCAGAATGCTCTTTGATTGTAGGTGAACTATAAATCCCAGCAACTACAACTCCCAAATGACAAAATCATATTTTTTGAGTGATGGTCACTCCTTGTGTTGTGAGACATTTTGTTGCCAAATAGGGTGTGATTTCGTTCATTATTTCTTTTGTTTTTAGGGTACTCATTACGCACAGAGCATTTATATATATATAGATTTCCACCCCAATGAAGAAGAAGAAAGAAAAAGAGGGCAACTAATCACCGGAATGGACTATGACGATGAGACTGACTATGACCCTAATCTAGACGAAGCGGATTTTTATATGTTGTGTGATGGTCTTGTTCCACTGTAAATTGTTGTCTTTTCTATGTTTTGTACACCGCCACGAGTCGCCTCCGGGCTGAGAGTGGCGGTTAACAAGTGCAAGTAATAAATAAATAAATAAATAAATAAACTAAGAGACATAGGTTGGAATAATTGAAAGCTGTGACATTTGCTTAACCATTTTTGCATATGATCTCTGCTTAACAATGTGTACTTAACAATAATTGCATAATGTCTATTGATCACTGATTAATCAATAACGTGCATTAATCACTGCTTTGCACCTCACTAAAGTAAACTACGTTTTGTTAACTTTGTCTTGTAACTATTTGACCCAGCACAGGGCTTTGAAGAAGAGAGGCCTAACGAGCTGTCCAACTAATACTCCAGAGGACAGGAGCAGGATTCAAAGATCTTGACAGATTAGAGAGATGAAGGGCCAAAACTAACAAAATGAAGTTCAACAGGGACAAATGCAAGATACTCCACTTAGGCAGGAAAAACGAAATGCAAAGAGACAGAATGGGGGACGATGAGGCCTGGCTCGAGAGCAGGACGTGTGGAAAAGATCTTGGATACCTCGTGGGGAACAAGTTAAACATGAGCCAGGAATGTGATGTGGCGGCAAAAAAGCCAATGGGATGTTGGCCTGCATCAAGAGGAGCCTAGTGTCTAGATCCAGGGAAGTCATGCTCCCCATGCTCTATTCCGCCTTGGTTAGACCACTTTACCTGGAATATTGTGTCCAATTCTGGGCACCACAATTCAAGAGAGATATTGACTCTAAGCTGGAATGTGTCCAGAGGAGGGCGACTAAAATGATCAAGGGTTTGGAGAACAAGCCCTATGAGGAGCGGCTTAGGGAACTGGGCATGTTTAGCCTGAAGAAGAGAAGGCTGAGAGGAGATATGATAGCCATGTATAAATATGTGAGAGGAAGCCACAGGGAGGAGGAGGGAGCAAGCTTGTTTTCTGTTTCCCTGAAGACAATGGCTTCAAACTACAAGAAAGGAGATTCTATCTGTACATGAGGAAGAACTTCCTGAATGTGAGAGCCGTTCAGCAGTGGAACTCTCTGCCTGCCCTGGAGGGAGTGTGGTGGAGGCTCCTTCTTTGGAGGCTTTGAAACAGAGGCTGGATGGCCATCTGTCAGGGGTGATTTGAATGCAATATTCTTGGCAGAATGGAGGTGGACTGGATGATGGCCCAGGAGGTCTCTTCCAACTCTTTGATTCTGTGATTCTATGATTAATCAATAATGTATCACTGATTAATCAATAACGTGCATTAACCACTGCTTTGCACCTCACTAAAGTAAACTACGTTTTGTGAACTGTGTCTTGTAACAGTTTGACCCAGCACAGGGCTTTGAAGAAGAGGCCTAACGAGCTGCTCAGCGAAGGCTGCAAAGCTTCAAGCAGGACTTCAGCATTCCCGTTGGGCCCACCTTTTGAAAGGAGAGCTGGCTTTTTGACAACAACATGAGAGGATGATGCTGTGGCAGAAAAGGACAATGCGACAATCAGCTGCATCCCTAGGAGCCTACTGCCTAGACCAGTGGTTCTCAACCTTCCTAATGCTGCGACCCCTTAATACAGTTCCTCATGTTGTGGTGACCCCCAGCCATAACATTATTTTGGTTGCTATTTCATAACTGTGATTTTGTTCCTGTTCTGAATTGCAGTGTACATATCTGATATGCAGGATATATTTTCATTCACTGGACCAAATTTGGCACAAATACCTGATAGGCCCAAATTTGAATACTGGTGGGGTTCGGGGGGGGGGGGTTGATTTTGTCATTTGGGAGTTGTCGTTGCTGGGATTTGTAGGTCACCTACACTCTGAACTACAAAAACGATGGAATTGAATCAAACTTGGCACACAGAACTCCAATGACCAACAGAAAATACTGGAAGTGTTTGGTGGGCACCGACCTTGAGTTTGGAGTTGTAGTTCACCTACATCGAGAGAGCACTGTGAACTCAAACAATGATAGATCTGGACCAGACTTGGCTCGGATGCGCAATTATGCCCAACTGTGAACACTGGTGGAGTTTGGGGAAAATAGACCTTGACATTTTTGAGTTGTAGTTTCTGGGATTTATAGTTCACCTACACTCAGATTATTTTGAACCCCACCAACAATAGAATTGGGCGAAAACTTCCCACAGAGAAGCCCCATGACCAACAGAAAATACTGTGTTTCCTGATGGTCTTTGGTGACCCCCCTGATACGGCCTCGCGACCCCCCCAGGGGTCCTGACCCCCAGGTTGAGAAACACTGGTCTAGAAGGAGAAAGTAGTGATATAAGAACATGGCATCCAGAAATCTTAGGAGACAGTCCCCAAGCGGAACATGAGGAGCTGCGATGGTGCAGCAGAAAAGGCCAATGCGATCCTAGGCGGAATCAAGAGGAGTATAGAGGGAAGTAATATGGGATGTGGATGAAGGGTACTTGGCTTCTCAACCTGGGAGGGGGACCTAGGAATCTTCTTAATAGACTCTAAAGTAAACGTGAGCCAAGAGTGATGTTGCAGCCAAAAGCACCAAGCCCCATTGGGGTCCGGATCCAGGGTTCTAGCTGCCAACAATTTTGAGCCTCCTAAATTCCCCCCTCCTCCTTTTTTGAGACATTTTTTGATTCAGAAAAAGGAAAACATCATTTTAAAAAACAATAATCGTACACAAAAGCAGAAAGTTATCTACAATGCTAAAACTATGCAGCCAACTAGCTACCACAACAAAGTAAACAGAACAAACAAAACACACATCTGCACTGACACACACAAAGCAGGCAAAGAAATTAGCAAACAGACATAGGTACAATTCTACAGACTTCACACTCATGATCTGTTGGCGTTATCCCTTATTATTTTACTCCATTTGGACAATACTATATGAGTACATTTCTACTTTTAGTAGTAGTCACCTAATTCATAACTCCTACTGCTGACATTTGCTTCTATTGTTGTGGTTAAAAATCATAAAACTGTCAGATATATATGTGTGTTTTGATTTAAGTGCTTTGTAGTTTTCAGAGTTAGTGATTTTGTGCTTAGAAATGTATTACTGTGATTTGCAATATCCCGAGTTGTAATTCGTGTGTGGAAAGGGTTAACTGTGTCATGAAGGAAGAGTCGTAAATCTCAATGCGGAAAGTGCTGTACGCTGCATCGTGCGTTGTATGTCATCACGTCACTGAGGAATGTGGGAGTGAACTTGTTAGTGGATTGCAACGAACTGCCGAACAGCATGTAGCCATTTTTGTTTTCTCATTCTGCATAGTTTTAGTGTAAATAGTTTTGTGTTAAATAAACTAGGTTTAGACAAGAAGATGTGTTTCAGTGCCTTGTGTGTGTGCTGAGATCATCGCCATTCCGTTAACAAAAACAAGACTCAAGCAGTTTGTCCACATCTGAAAATGTGCAATTCTTTGGCAGCCATTGGCCTTGCATAATGGGTTTCGCAAAAGTTATCAAATACTTGAATAACTTTCCAAATTTTGTTTCTAGATTATTGTCCAGCATTCCTAACAAACAAAACTCTGGTCCCATTGTGAATTTAGCCTTAACAAATGCTTCCATCATTCTATGTATTTGAGCCCAATATTTCTGGGCTTTTCTGCAAGATCACCACAATGCGATAAAATGTCCCAACGTTGTGTTGTCATTTACATTTGGTAGAGCTGTCTTTGTACATCTTAAAGAGTCTCTCTGGCATCAATTTACGAAAGTGTGAGTCCTTTGATGTGAACGTAGGCGTCCACTATGACTGAAGCTTTGTCCACACTCCAGGCATTTATAGGGTTTCTCCCCAGTGTGAGTTTGGTGATGCGACCATAGACTCCCTTGCTGAATGAAGCTCTTTCCTCACTCCAAACATGTATAGGGTTTCTCCACAGTGTGTGTTATTTGATGTAAACATAGACTTCTAGTGCCAGTGAAGCTCTTTCCACACTCCAGGCATTCATAGGGTTTCTCCCCAGTGTGAGTCCTTTCATGTTGCTGCAGGGCATCTCCCCGAGTGAAGCTTTTCCCACACTCCAGGCATTTATAGGGTTTCTCCCCAGTATGAGTTCGTTGATGTAAGCGTAAGCCTCCACTCTGAGTGAAGCTCTTTCCACACTCCGAGCATTTATAGGGTTTCTCCCCAGTGTGGATTTTGTGGTGGGACTGCAGGCTCCCATGCTGAATGAAGCTCTTTCCACACTCCAGGCATTTATAGGGTTTCTCCCCAGTGTGAGTTCTGTGGTGAGACTGGAGGCTCCCATGCCGAATGAAGCTCTTTCCACACTCTGGGCATTCGTAGGGTTTCTCTCCAATGTGAGTCCTTTCATGTTGCTGCAGAGCATCCCTCCGAGCGAAGCTCTTTCCACACTCCTGGCATTCGTAGAGTTTCTCTCCAGAGTGAGACCTTTCATGTTGCTGCAGATGATCCCTCCGAGTGAAACTAATCCCACACTCCAAGCATTTATAGGGTTTCTCCCCAGTATGAGTTCTTTCATGTTGCTGGACATGATCCCGCCGAGTGAAACTCTTTCCGCACGCCAGGCATTCATAGGGTTTCTCCCCAGTGTGGGTTCTTACATGCTCCTGCAGATGATCCCTCCGAGTGAAACTCTTTCCACACTCCAGGCATTCGTAGGGTTTCTCCCCAGTGTGGGTTCGACTATGTTTGTGTAGATTTCCACTCTCAGTGAAGCTCTTTCCACAGTCCTTGCATTTATAGGGTTTCTCCCCAGTGTGGGTTCTGTGGTGAGACTGGAGGCTCCAAAGCCGAATGAAGCTCTTTCCACACTCCAGGCATTCGTAGGGTTTCTCCCCAGTGTGAGTTCTGTGATGCAAGTATAAACCCACATTGTCGGTGAAGCTCTTCCCAAACTCCAGGGATGGATAGGGTTTATCCTGCATGTTGATCGTGGTCTGTATATTTAACTACAATATGGACACTTCAGTCTTCTTTTTCCCTTTCTGATCCAAAGTCAGTTCAGCAAGATCAGCACTTTGAGAGGCTGTCTTTTATCCAAAAGGACTCTTTTCCTTATGGCATGTTTGGTTCCCAAAATCCTCAATATTCTCTAGATGCTGGTTTGTTTCTCATCACACCAAAGATATCTCCCTGGAATCCTGATGTTCCTGGTCAAGAAAGAAGCAGCAAAAGATTAGGCGTGAAGCCCAAAACCTCCTTTCTCCCTTTTCCCTTCATGAAAGTTTGCTGCTACCAAATATTCTGGTATTCCCAAATGAATCCTCTAATCAACCAAGACTCTGCCTCCCATCTGGATACTTCAAACCCACGTTTAGATACCGTATATACTGGAATATAAGCCGGCCCGACTATAAGCCGAAGCATCTAATTTTACCACAAAAAACTGGGAAAGTATATTGACTTGAAGATAAGCCGAGGGTAGGAAATGCCAAAAATAGATACCAATAAAAATATATTGAGGTATCAGTAGTTTGAATGTTTTTGAATATTTACATAAAACTGTAATTTAAGATAAGACTGTCCAACTCTGATTAAACCATTATTCTGTCTTCTTCAAAGTAAATGTGCTTACGTAACCTTCTAATAATAAACACAGTAAAATAATAAATGTAAAAATAACAATAATAAACAGAGTAAAATAATACATGTAAAAATAACAACAATAATAAAGTAAGTTCTTGTGGGTTTTTTCGGGCTATATGGCCATGTTCTAGAGGCATTTCTCCTGACGTTTCGCCTGCATCTGTGGCAAGCATCCTCAGAGGTAGTGGGTTAACAGACCTCACCTCTGAGGATGCTTGCCATAGATGCAGGCGAAACGTCAGGAGAAATGCCTCTAGAACATGGCCATATAGCCCGGAAAAACCCACAAGAACTTAGTGATTCCAGCCATGAAAGCCTTCAACAATAATAAAGTAAAATAATTAATGCAATAAAATAATAATAGAGTAAAATGATAAATGTAATAATAATAAATAGAGTAAAATAATAAATGCAATGAAATAATAACAGAGTAAAATAATAAATAACTGACTTAAGTATAAGCCGAGGAGGACTTTTTCAGTCTAAAAAAAGGGCTGAAAGACTAGGCTTATACTCGAGTATATACAGTAGGTTGGGGGATTCACCTCATTACTCTCTGACGAACTAAGTCCCCTTCTCTGCAGTGTGACACTCCCTCAGTTGAACCCCGGGATGGGATGAGAAGACTGAGTCACCTTTTTCTCCTCTGGCCCAGTCCTCTCTCTTCTCCTCTGTCCTCCGTCTTGGGGAAGATTTTCAGCAGCTCAAGGAGATCTAGAGAAACACAGGATTTCAATACAGGGATGGAGGAATGTTTACAGTAATGAAAGTAATTAAATCCCAACCTGGGGAAAAACAGGCATCTACTCTGGCCACTCCTTCCACAGAAGCTGCCTCACAAATGCTCTTCTGAGCATGGGCAAAACAGAGAGAAAAGGGAGAAGCAAACGTGCCAATTTCCCCCCAAACCTGAAATAAAAACAAGGGCCTACAACTCTGGCTTCCCAAAAGGAAATCCTAAGAATGCTGGAAGGCTTTGGAGAGAAGAAGTCTTCCCTTTGATGCCAAACCTCAGCTAACCGCTAACGGAGCCGTGTGGATCTGGCAACCGGAGCACCTGCTACTTTCAAACCAGGGCAACACACAGGTTTGAATGCAACAGGAACAGAGGTTTGTTACTTCCAGGGATGAAAGGATGTCTGCTACAGAGTGCCTGCTCTAAAACAATTGGGTATAACCACGTAGTGCAGTGCAGGACATTTTATCCCCTTGGACAGCGATTGAAAAGACCCGCTCCCTCCTCTATTTGGCTGGGAACTCCCCGTGACGTCAGAGGTGGACAGCGTCTCCCTCATGGCAGGAAAAATGAAGAGCTGTCATTGGTCCAATTGAAGCTGGAATCATCTGGAGGGCCCTCCCAGGCTGAGCTCAATCATGAGCATAACATCGGGTTGAATGCCATTTTCCTGCTTCTTGGCAGAAGGGGGTTGGCCTGGATGGACCACGAGGTCTCTTCCAACTCGAGGACTCTATGATTCTATATGCACATGTGGTCAAAATGTCTGGAGTTTGCTTCTGACTACCAGGCTCTTCCCAAGGGCCTGGATATTGGAGGAATTATTAAATTATTATTATATGTATTATTATTATTAGAATATATGTACGTATATATATATTGCATCTGTCAATCGCATCTGTGAAGGGGGCAGGACTGAGAACAGGGCCCCCCAGACGATCTTAAAGTCCTAGATCAGTATTTCTCAACCTGGGGGTCGGAACCCCTGGAGGGGTCGCCAGGGGGTGTCAGAGGGGTCACCGAAGACCATCAGAAAACACAGTATGTTCTGTTGGGCATGGGGGTTCTGTGTGGGAAGTTTGGCTCAATTCTATCGTTGGTGGGGTTCAGAATGCTCTTTGATTGTAGGTGAACTATAAATCCCAGTAACTACAACTCCCAAATGTCAAGGTCTATTTCCCCCAAACTCCACCAGTGTTTACATTTGGGCATATGGAGTATTCATGCCAAGTTTCGTCCAGATCCATCATTGTTTGGGTCCACACTGCTCTCTGGATGTGGGTGAACTACAACTCTAAAACTCAAGGTTAGTGCCCACCAAACTCTTCTAGTATTTTCTGTTGGTATGGGAGTTCTGTGTGCTATAATTGTTTCCATTACATCATTGGTGGAGTTCAGAATGCTCTTTGATTGTAGGTGGACTATAAATCCCAGCAACTACAACTCCCAAATGCCAAATTTGGTCCAGTGGATGAAAATATATCCTGCATATCAGATATCTACATTACGACTTGTAACAGTAGTGAAATGACAGTTATGAAGTAGCAACAGAAATAATGTTATGGTTGGGGGCCACCACAACTTGAGGAACGGTATTAAGGGGTCAAGGCCTTAGGAAGGTTGAGAACCACTGTCCTAGATAGTTCATAAGGGGAGATGCGTTCGGACAGGCAAGCTGGGCCAGAACCGTTTAGGGCTTTGTAGGCTAACGCCAGCACTTTGAATGGTGCCCGGTAGCAGACTGGCAGCCAGTGGAGATGGCGCAGCAGAGGAGTGGCGTGCTCCCTGAGTGCTGCTCCTGTTAGCTACCTGGCTGCCGTCCATTGGACCATTGGAAGCTTCTGGACAGTCTTCAAGGGCAACCCCATGTAGAGCGGGCTCTTCCCAAGGGCCTGGGATATTGGCCTCAGATGAGACTAGTATATTTATTATTTATGCAATGCATTCTACGTGGGGCTTCCCTTGAAGATGGCCTGGAAACTTCAATTGGTCCAACGTTTGGCAGTTAGATCAATAACTGGGGCAAATTACAGAGAGCGGTCAACCCCCCTGATTAAGGAGCTCCACTGGCTGCCGTTCATCTTCCGGTCCCAATTCAAGGTGCAGGTCATCGCCTACAACAGTGGTTCTCAACCTTCCTAATGCCATGACCCCTTAATACGCTTCCTCATGTTATGGTGACCCCCCAACCATAAAATTAGTTTCGTTGCTACTTCATAACTCATCCTGCTGCTGTTATGAATAGTAACAGATTGGGGGAGGGTATTGATTTTGTCCTATGGGAGTTGTAGTTGCTGGGATATATAGTTCACCTACAATCAAAGAGCATTCTGAACTCCATCAACGATGGAACTGAATCAAACTTGGCACACAGAATTCCCATGACCAACAGAAAATACTGGAAGGGTTTGGTGGGCACTGACCTTGAGTTTTGGGAGTTGTAGTTTACCTACATCCAAAGAGAACTGTAGACTCAAACAAGGATGGATCTGGACCAAACTTCGCACGGATTCTCAGTATGCCCAAATGTAAACACTAGTAGAGTTTGGGGGAAATAGACCTTGACATTTGGGAGTTGTAGTTGCTAGGATTTATAGTTCACCTACAATCAAAAAGCATTCGAACCCTACCAAGGATTGAATTGGGCCAAACTTCCCACACAGAACCTCCATGACCAACAGAAAATACTGTGTTTTCTGGTGGTCTTTGGTGACCCCTCTGACACCCCCTGGCGACCCCTCCAGGGGTCCCGACCCCCAGGTTGAGAAACACTGGCCTACAAAGCCCTGAACGGTTTGGGACCCACCGACCTGCGTGACCGCATCTCCTACCACCAACCCGCACAATCTCTTTGGTCTTCTGGAGTGGCCCTTCCTCCTTCCTTCCTTCCTTCCTTCCTTCCTTCCTTCCTTCCTTCCTTCCTTCCCTAGCTGCCTTCAAGAAAGATCTGAAACCCTGGCTCCTCCGATGTGCCTTCAGAGAGGGGCCACTCAACCCATGTGTTTGTTTCCAGCGAGGGTTGTGCCTTCTTCCCCTGCCCTCTCTCAAGGCCCAAGCCAGTCCTTCTTGGGCTCCTCTCTCATCAATGCCCCTTTTTCTTCCTATCTCATCTCACCCAGAGGTTTAACCTTTTAACTCATCCATCTGGCCCGCCCTTTGTGTTTGGTTTTACCATGCCATTTTATACTGGGTTGTTGTTGGTTTTCTCAGGCTCTATGGCCATGGTCTAGAGGAGGCATTCTCTCCTGACGTTTCGCCTGCTTCTATGGCAAGCATCCTCAGAGGGAGTGAGGTCTGTTGGAATTAGGAAAAAGGGTTTATATATCTGTGTAATGACCAGGGTGAGACAAAGGACTCTTGTCTGCTGGAACTAGGTGTGAATGTTTCAACTGACCACCTTGATTAGCATTTGATGGCCTGGCAGTGCCTGGAGCAATCTTTTGTTGAGAGGTAATTAGATGTCCTTGTTTGTTTCCTCTCTGTTGTTGTGCTGTTCTAATTTCAGAGTTTTGTTTTAAAGAAGCCCCAGTAAAGCCTTGGCAGACTATGCAAAAAGGATCTGCAAAGCCCACCTCCTCCAAGATGGCCTGAACCACCTCAACTGGGTTCTCCAGGCCAATGGAGACTCCACCTCAGGCATCAGAAGAGCTGTTAGACAACCGAGAAGAAGCCACGAGAGTCAAGATGAAGATCCACCCAGAGGGAAAGGGTTCCTGCCAGACATCAAGGGAACCACTGACCGCAGAGGGAAGCTGATGAGGAAACACAACATACAAACCATCTACAAACCCACCAAGAAAATCCAACAAATGCTCCGTTCAGCAAAGGACAAGAGGGATCCTCTCACCTCTGCAGGAGTCTACGCGTATACCATGCAGCTGTGGACAAGTCTACAGAGGGACCACCAAACGCAGCCCCAACACGAATCAAGGAACATGAAAGGCACTGCAGACTACTTCAACCAGAGAAATCAGCCATAGCAGAGCACCTGAGGAACCAACTTGGACACAGCATATTATTTGAGAACACAGAAGTGCTGGACCACTCTCACAAACACCATGTCAGGCTACACAGAGAAGCCATTGAAATCCACAAGCATGAGGAATTTCAAGAGAAAGGAGGAGACCATGAAAATGAACAAAATCTGGCTACCAGGATTTAAAAAACTCTAAAATTTCAACGATGGATTCATCGTTGAGCCTGGATCCCCAGGTCTCAGCGGTGACCAGGGGAGCATTTGCACAGCTCAGGCTCGTGCGCCAGCTGCGCCCGTACCTTGGGAAGTCTGACTTGGCCACGGTAGTACACGCTCTGGTCACATCCCGCCTTGACTACTGCAACGCTCTCTACGTGGGGCTGCCCTTGAAGACGGCCCGGAAGCTCCAGCTAGTCCAGCGCGCGGCAGCCATGTTACTAACAGGAGCGGGACGCAGGGAGCATACAACGCCCTTGTTGTTCCAGCTCCACTGGCTGCCGATCTGCTACCGGGCCCAATTCAAGGTGCTGGTGTTGGCCTACAAAGCCCTAAACGGTTCCGGCCCAAAATACCTGTCTGACCGCATCTCGGCCTACGAGCCCACGAGGACTTTGAGATCGTCCGGGGAGGCCCTTCTCTCGATCCCGCCTGCCTCACAGGCACGCCTGGCGGGGACGAGGGACAGGGCCTTCTCGGTGGTGGCCCCCCGGCTGTGGAACACCCTCCCTGCGGACATCAGACTGGCGCCCTCCCTCATGACATTCCGCAAGGGACTAAAGACGTGGTTGTTTGAGAAGGCGTTTGACTAAGTGCGGCAACAATTGGCAATGACGATTGGAACGGAACATGGAGAACGAGATTTGGATTGTGATTCAATGATGAGACGTTGCGAATGAGTTAGTATAACTGTATTATTGATAGCGTCGTTGTTTACTGTTGATGTGATATTGCTTATGTTGTAAATTGTACCTGGTTTTACATGTTGTACGCCGCCGTGAGTCGCCCCAGTCGGCTGAGAACGGCGGTCTACAAGCGCAGTAATAAAGAAAACAATAAATCAATAAAACCGCAACAGCACAACAACAGAGGGGAAACAAACAAGGACATCGAATCACCTCTCAACAAAAGATGGCTCCAGGAGGAGGGGGAGGACCGCCCTTCCGTGTCCCTGGGCTGCCCTGTCTGTCTGTCTGTCTGTCAGGGAGGCCCTTCCTTACCTGGGCAGGTGGGCGGGTCTCGGCACCTGGAACGGAGGGAGGGAGGGCAGCTTCTGGGGGAAGAGGCCCAAGGCAGCCAGGTAGGCCTCTCCTCCAGCCATCGAGTCATCCAAGCTGTAGAGCGGCAGGCAGGCAGGCAGGCAGCCAATGGGGGGCTCCGGAGGGCGTGGCTTCGCGGGCCCAGCCAATAGGAGCGGGAAGGCGGGCCCCGGGGAAAGAAGGAAGGAAGGAAGGAAGGAAGGAGGCGGGGGAGAGGCAGAGAGATGGACTGTTGGACACAGAGAGAGAGAGAGAGAGAAAGAGAAGGGAGGCCTCAAAGCACTTGCACCCAGGACCAACCTAGGACTGCCTTTCAAGGAGTTCCTTTGCAAATGACCAAGGGTCCGGAGAACAAGCCCTATGAGGAGCGGCTTAAAGAGCTGGGCATGTTTAGCCTGAAGAAGAGAACGCTGAGAGGAGACATGATGAGGGCCATGGATAAATATGTGAGAGGAAGCCACAGGGAGGAGGAAGCAGATCAGGCGTCTGGAGAACAAGCCCTATGAGGAGCGGCTTAAAGAGCTGGGCATGTTTAGCCTGAAGAAGAGAACGCTGAGAGGAGATATGATGAGGGCCATGGATAAATATGTGAGAGGAAGCCATAGGAGGGAGCAGATCAAGGGTCTACAGAACAAGCCCTATGAGGAGCGGCTTAAAGAGCTGGGCAGGTTTAGCCTGAAGAAGAGAAGGCTGAGAGGAGACAGAATGAGGGCCATGGATAAATATAGGAGAGGAAGTCATAGCTAGGAGGGAGCAGATCAAGGGTCTACAGAACAAGCCCTATGAGGAGCGGCTTAAGGAGCTGGGCATGTTTGGCCTGAAGAAGAGAACGCTGAGAGGAGACAGAATGAGGGCCATGGATAAATATGTGAGAGGAAGCCACAGGGAGGAGGAAGCAGATCAGGCGTCTGGAGAACAAGCCCTATGAGGAGCGGCTTAAAGAGCTGGGCATGTTTAGCCTGAAGAAGAGAAGGCTGAGAGGAGACATGATGAGGGCCATGGATAAATATGGGAGAGGAAGTCATAGCTAGGAGGGAGCAGATCAAGGGTCTACAGAACAAGCCCTATGAGGAGCGGCTTAAGGAGCTGGGCATGTTTAGCCTGAAGATAAATACGTGAGAGGAAGCCACAGGGAGGAGGAGGGAGCAAGCTTGTTTTCTGCTTCCCTGGAGACTAGGACGCGGAACAATGGCTTCAAACTACAAGAGAGGAGATTCCATCTGAACATGAGGAAGAACTTCCTGACTGTGAGAGCCGTTCAGCAGTGGAACTCTCTGCCCCAGGGGGGAGTGTGGTGGAGGCTCCTTCTTTGGAAGCTTTTAAGCAGAGGCTGGATGGACATCTGTCAGGGGTGATTTGAATGCAATATTCCTGCTTCTTGGCAGAATGGGGTTGGTCTGGATGATGGCCCAGGAGGTCTCTTCCAACTCTTTGATTCTAGGATTAAGTAAGTTAAGAAACAAAGTATGGAACGATGTTGCAATCCCCAACAACAGCAGGATTGCAGAGAAACTACTGGAAAAGCTGACATGAGACGAGGATTTAAAGATCGAACTGCAAAGACTCTGGCACAAGTCAGTCAAGGTGGTCCCAGTGTTGATCGGCACACTGGGCACAGTTCCTGAAGACCTTGGCCTGCACTTAAACACAATGGGTGCTGACAAAATTACCACCTGCCAGCTGCAGAAGGCCAACAAGCCTCACAACCTCTGAGGACGCTTGCCATAGATGCAGGTGAAACGTCAGGAGAGAATGCCTCTAGAACATGGTCATATAGCTCGAAAAAACCTACAACAACCCAGTGAAGACTTTGTGTTGTCGAAGGCTTTCATGGCTGGAATCACTGGGTTGCAGTGAGTTTTCTGGGCTGCCTGGCCATGTCCCAGAAGCATTCTCTCCTGGCATTTCGCCCATATCTATGGCAGGCACGCTCAGAGGTTGTGAGGTCTGTTGGAAACTAGGCAAGTGGGGTTTATTTATCTGTGGAACGTCCAAGGTGGGAGAAAGGGCTCTTGTCTGTTGGAGACAGGGGTGAAAAGGACATTCAATAGTAACCAAGCTGGCTAATGGCAACATTCACACTTGCCTCCAACTGACAAGAGTTCTTTCTCCCACACTTGACATCATTCCATATATATAAATAATAATGTAATGTTCGTTCGTGCTACCATCAGAACTCAAAAACCACTGGTGGAATTGACACCAAATTTGGACACAAGACACCTAACAGTCCAATGTATGTCCTCCACTAAAAAAAAAAAAAAAAGATTTTGTCATTTGGGGAATTTATAGTCGCCTACAATCAAAGAGTATTCTGAACTCCACCAATGATGGAATTGGGTCAAACTTAGCACAAAGGGCTCCCATGACCAACAGAAAAAACCTGGAAGGGTTTGGTGGACATTGACCTTGAGTTTGGGAATTACAATTCACCCACATCCAGAGAGCACTGTGGACTCAAACAATGATGGATCTGGACCAAACTTGGCACGAATATTCCATATGCCCAAATATGAACACAGATGGAGTTTAAGGGAAATAGACCTTGACATTTGGGAGTTGTAGTTGCTGGGATTTATAGTTCACTACAATTAAAGAGCATTCTGAAACCCACAAACGACAGAAATGGGGCAAACTTCCCACACAGAACCCCCATGACCAACAGAAAATACTAAAGGCCATCCAGTCCAACTCTCTTCACCAGGGCAAGAAAATGTAATCAGAGCCCTCCTGACAGAGAGCCATCCAGCCATAAATATGGATAGATCGAGATGGTTCTCTTTCACACACACAGATATAGTATCATAGATTTGAAATGGACCCCTAAAGAAGGACAATGATATGTTGCCTGTTTCAGAGTGGGCAAAGCAGACACTCTCCACATCCACACTGGCAAAGAAACAACAAGAAATACTGTTTACTCACAAGCAGAAAGGAATTACATATATTAGAAACCAACACTTTCTCATTAATGTATTGTCGAAGGCTTTCATGGCTGGAATCACTGGGTTGTTGTAGGTTTTTCCGGGCTATATGGCCATGTTCTGGAGGCAGTTTTTCTCTCCTGACGTTTCGCCTGCATCTATGGCAAGCATCCTCAGAGATAGTGAGATCTCTTAGAAGTAGGAAAAATGGGTTTATATATCTGTGGAATGACCAGGGTGGGACAAAGGACTCTTGTCTGCTAGAGCTAGGTGGGAATGTTTCCGCTGATGACCTTGATTTGCATTCAATGGCTTGGAAGTGCCTGGGGGAAATCTTTTGTTGAGAGTGATTTTCTCATTACTTTATTTTCCAGATCAACAGACTGGGCCACAGCAAGGCGTGGCAGGGGCAGCTAGTATATATATATAGCCCTGTTAGTCTGCAGTGCCTTTCATGTTCCTTGATTCGTGTTTGTGCAATGCTGCTGCGTTTTGGGGTCCCTATGGAACATGAAAGGCCCTGCAGACTTAATCCAACCAGAGAAGTCAGCCACAGCAGAGCACCAGAGGAACCAACCTGGACACAGCATATTATTAGAGAACACAGAAATGCTGGACCACTCTCACAACCACCAGGTCAGACTACACAGAGAAGCCACTGAAATCCACAAGAAGCATGTGGACAATGTCAACAGAAAGGAGGAAACCATGAAAATCAACAACATCTGGCTCCCAGTATTAAAAAAGTCTAAAATTAGAACACAACAACAGAGGGGAAACCATCAGGCACATCTAATCACCTCTCAACAAAAGATTTCTCCAGGCACTGCCAGGCCATCAAATGCTTGTGGTCAGTTGAAACATTCCCACCTAGCTCCAGTAGACAAGAGTCCTTTGCCCCACCCTGGTCATTCCACAGATATACAAACCCTTTTTCCTACTCCCAACAGACCTCATTACCTCTGAGGATGCCTGCCATGGATGTGGATGAAACGTCAGGAGAGAATGCCTCTGGAACATGGCCAGAGACGCCCAGAAAACTCACAGCAACCCAACTTTGTTGAGAAATGGCAGGCCTGCACTCAGAAGAGGCGGGGCCCAGAGGAGGAGGCTGCTGCTTCCGGGTGTGGGCGGGGCCTGGCTGGCTGGCGGGGAGGCCACGCCCCCTCTCCCTCCCTCCCTGGGGCCTCGTTTGCGTTGGCCACGCCCCCTCTCCGTCCCTCCCGCCTCCTTTCCCTTGGCCACGCCCCCTCTCCCCCTTCCCGCCTCCTTTCCCTTGGCCACGCCCCCTCTCCCTCCCTCCTCCTTTCCCTTGGCCAGGCCCCCTCCCCATCCCTCCCTCCCTCCCTGGGGCCTCGTTTGCGTTGGCCACGCCCCCTCTCCCTCCCGCCTCCTTTCCCTTGGCCACGCCCCCCTCCCCCCTCCCGCCTCCTTTCCCTTGGCCACGCCCCCTCTCCCTCCCTCCCGCCTCCTTTCCCTTGGCCAGGCCCCCTCTCCCTCCCTCCCTCCCTGGGGCCTCGTTTGCGTTGGCCACGCCCCCTCTCCCTCCCGCCTCCTTTCCCTTGGCCACGCCCCCTCTCCCTCCCTCCCGCCTCCTTTCCCTTGGCCACGCCCCCTCTCCCTCCCTCCCGCCTCCTTTCCCTTGGCCACGCCCCCTCTCCCTCCCTCCCGCCTCCTTTCCCTTGGCCACGCCCCCTCTCCCTCCCTCCCGCCTCCTTTCCCTTGGCCACGCCCCCTCGAGCTGCCCCGCTCGGCGCGCGCGAGAGAGCGACTGCGCATGCTCCTCTCTCTCTCTCTCTCTCCCCCTCCTGTCACGGCGCTGTAACGGCTGCTTCCTTCGAGAAGCTTCGTCAGGCTGGCTGAGGGGAGGGGGAGGCGGTCACGAGGGGCGCGGCGGCCAATCGGAGAGCGGCAGGGCGGCGCAGGGGGCGGGGCCGGCGAGAGGCGCGCGGATTCGAACTCCCGGAAGCGGCGGTTGGCTTCGCGCGAGGCCATCTTCCTCCTCCTCCTTCTCTCCAGGCTCCTCCCTCTGCTTGACCGTTCGTGCTCCGCCATGTCCGGCCGCGCCAGGGCCAGAGCCAGGGGCCGAGCCCGCCCCGCACAGATCGAGGACGACGCCACCGCCGCCGCCGCCCTCAGAGCCGGAGCCGCGGTTGGTGGCAGCGAGGGGGCCGAGGAGGGGGTGGGGTTGGGGTTAGGTATTGGTGGGTGTGTTTTGGTTGGGGTGGGTTAGCGCCCACCCCCCCCCCACAAAACCCCACTCCCCCACAACATCAGACTAGGATCAACACCAACACGCGCCCCCCCCTCCACCAACAGAGAAAACAACTGTCTTGCGCGGGGGATCTTCGCTGACCCTTCGAACCCCCCCACCCCCGAGTATTTCGTGATTACACCCCCGGCACCCCACCCCCCACCCCCCCGCCCCCCCACCCCGTATTCCCCCCCCGCCTAGTATTATTTCTTTCATTTGTATATTGACATTTCGTTGACATTGAACACCAGAACACACATGTCCCTGTTGGACCTACCTTTTAATCTGGGTTGCTTGCATTTGTCTCGGCGTTCGTCCACGCTCATCCCCTGTTTGCTGGGCGTATCAAAGCAGCACGACCAACGACTTAATATGAGATCATAGTTTTTTCCATATAGACTTATGTACAGAGTAAACTCGTGGTGGACTGGAAGACCACCCATCAGCAAGGAGAGAGTCAAAGGGAAAGTGGCAGGCTCAAACAAGCCGAAATTGAGAACCTCAATCAATGGCTGAAACCAAATACGAGACTCCCCCCTGGGCACACAAGAAGACAGGGCGACTTGGAAGGCGCTAGAGGACTGAACAGACTGTGCTCTGGCACCACAAGATGCAGAGCCAACCTAGAAATGGGGCCACAAAGTGGAATCCATGACATGCGAGTGTGGAGAAGAGCAAACCACTGACCACCTGCTGCAATGCAACCTGAGCCCTGCCACATGCACAATGGAGGACCTTCTTGCAGCAACACCAGAAGCACTCCAAGTGGCCAGATACTGGTCAAAGGACATTTAACCAACTACCAAACTCACAAGTTTTGTATTTTTTCTGTTTGTTTGCTGTGTTCTGTTAGAAATGTAATATAATGGACTGGCTGCTCTGACACGACAAATAAATAACCTCACCCTTGGCTGTTCTGTCTTAGGTTTCTGGGAGTGGCATTTAAATACATGGTCTAGAAGCATTCTCTCCTGACGTTTCGCCTGCATCTATGGCAAGCATCCTCAGAGGTAGTGAGGTCTGTTGGAACTAGGAAAGGGGGTTTATATATCTGTGGAATGATGAGGGTGGGACAAAGGATGCTTGCCTGCTGGAGCTAGGTGTGAATGTTTCAACTGACCACCTTGATTAGCATATAATGCCCTGACATGCCTGGAGCAAACTTTTGTTGAGAGGTGATTAGATGTCCTTGTTTGTTTCCTCTCTGTTGGTGTGCTGTTGCAATTTTGGAAAAATAAATACATGGGCTATATGGCCATGTTCTAGAAGAAGTATCTCCTGATGTTTTGCCTGCATCTATGGCAGGCATCCTCAGAGGTTGTGAGGTCTGTTGGAAACTAGGAAATTTGGGTTTATATATCTCTGGAATGATGTCCAGGATGGAAGAAAGAACTCTTGTCTGTTGTAGGTGTGAATGTATAATTCATACCGCGACATGAGAACCGTCTCCTGTTACTGGATAGACCATAGTACCACTAAAATTCGCACACACGCTTTCAAGGACGTCCCCAAGAACTACTTCACTTCTCTCCCCCCACTCAACTTCCTCTCTCTCACCACCTCTCCCATTCCTCTTCCCTCCATAAATCCCTCTCCATCCATACACCCTGTATCCCCATCCACTTCCCACTACTTCATACCTCTCTCAAACTCCCTCCTCTCACCCTCCATCATCCCAAGAACATGACCACCCCTTCACTCTATTGTTACCCCCACTCCACCATGTCCCCTCATTTCATTTCCTTAATCTATCCACAAGCAGAATTACCATTCCCACCTCTAACTCTCGCAGTCATCCAACAACCACGAGTCTGAAATCAAGAAACGTCCCATTGGACTAACGTAAATAAATAAGCATAAGAACACCTACTCACGCCAGCATGAAACTGAATAAAATTTCGCCCCTTATAAAAACACCCCCTCTCTCCGTATTAAAAATCGAAAAAATTACCAAAGCACTACACCCACACCACATGCCCCCCGCCCCCCCACCTCCCCCCCTTCTCTCTGTTAGATATACCTCATCTCTTTCATACCAGTGGTGTAAACTACATTAACTAACCTCACACACATTAAATTTCAATATGGTTCACCTTATAAATCCCACCAAACTAGTATTGGACATTAGAGTTCAATCCGTATAACAACATACCTCCCAATTTCAGCAAGACAGAAGACATACGAGGTGCCCCTTAGGAAACAATGTCAATTCGCGAGACCAACGTAGAAGTGGGCACCTGACAACGCACTCGCATGCGGGCTGGCTCGGGTAACAGGTTGGGAAGGTGACTGATAGAGGTACGACTCGACGACTGGGCGTAGTAAATATCGGTTCCTTTGTGTGTTCTTTTGTAAAAAGGCAAATTTGGGGTCTGTATGATGCACGTGTTCTTTTCATTTTTGAACCAAGGTAGGCGGCATGGTTTGGTTTCAACCTGGGACTGTGGAACCCGGATAGAGTACTGGTTTAGCTATGCTTTCTGTGAACTGTGGTACTAAACTGTTTAGAGCATAGAATAGTTCCTGTTTGAAGCACAAAGGGGACCACTCGTGTACAATTGTACTTTCTAGATATGTGGCCTACACATATAATGCCCGATGCTTTAGTCGCTGATCATCCTTAGTCTTAATATTTCCATAGTCGTCTTGGGAACAGTTACCTAATCCTAAGTTTATCTGTCCACACGAAAACCAATGAAAGTTAAGGGAATTTTTTGTACTAATATGTTGGGGATTGGGGGAGCTCTTATTTGCTGAGCTGGATCTAGAGTGACATTTGCCTGTTGTTCTGAAGAGATGGGGGCAATAAATATGAGCAGAACAGAGATGGGAAATGAGACACGAATGTGCTGCCATCATATGATTAGAGGTTAGTAGGAATTGGTTTTATGATATTACTTAAGGTATCATCTCTTAATGTGGCTATACCAGATTTTTTGTGCAAATCTACAAAAGCGGATCAATATTAATCATATCTCCAAAGGGAATCTTAAGAGATAATAAAGGATATGAGCATTAATTCTCTATAGCGCAACATGGTCAAGAGATGGCGAAGCTATGTGCGCATTTGCACCAAGATCAAACACCAAAAATTTTGCTGTTCTATTAAGTGGAAGGCATTCAGGTCGATTATTGGTAGAGGCTGTTTTGTTTGTTTGAGTGCGTAGGTCATTGAATGGTTTGGGATGAATGTTTGTGTATGTAGGATGACTTGTTGAGTGAGTGTGAGAGTCTCTCAGGATACTCGGAAATGTTGTGAGTATTGTGTAAGTTTATAAGAATATTTACAATACTTCATGCTCAACGCGCGATAGCCACTAGGTGCGGTAGACGAAGGAGGATGTATCATGGTTGGGTGTGTTGTACAAAGATGTTAGGCAGTCTAATGGTCAGGTTATTTGTAGGTCTACATAGGTGATTCATATATAACCGATCCTAGGAGGCAAGTCAATTGTCGGGGTGATACAGAGATGGAGCGCGTTTTTCTCTCATCTTGCATGTACAACTCCTGAAAACGTAGTTTGCCAGGGTGTATGTAGGAGGGTTACTTAGGTAAATGTTATTGCAGGTCAAGTTTTAGGTTCAGAGGAACAGTTTTTGTTTTTGTTTTAGGGGGTAGGAGCTAGGAAGGCAGATCATTATGGGATTTCCAGGAGATAGAGTCATCAAATTGAGGTTGTCGTGAACCAAGCCGTCATCTCGAACTAGTTTATATGCATTTATAAAGTTGCTCTTTATGCAGGGTTATTTTGGTAATAATAATAGGAGCGCCCGGTGGCACAGTGGGTTAAAGCACTGAGCTGCTGAGCTTGTTGATTGAAAGGTTTCAGGTTCGATTCCGGGGAGCGGCGTGAGCTTCCGCTGTCAGCCCTAGCTTCTGCCAACCTAGCAGTTCGAAAACATGCAAATGTGAGTAGATCAATAGGTACCGCTCTCGGGAAGGTAACGGTGCTCCATGCAGTCATGCCGGCCACATGACCTTGGAGGTGTCTATGGAGCACCACACCTCAGATCAGAGTCGGATGACTGGACTTAATGTCAGGGGAAAACTACTAGGGTAAATGCTGGTGGTCGTGCTCCATTTGCAGTATTGCACCAGTCCACATTAGACACTTGGAAATGGTAGGTGCTAAGAAACGGAACAACACAACTGGACTGGTTCGGTCCCTCTGCTATAGAAATGGAGATCTCAGATGAGACACCAGAAGTCCAGAGTGCAGAAAACTGGATTTAATGTCAGGGGAGACTTGTACATGCAAAAATTGAGACCCGTTGGTTATGGATGGCCCCCGCGGTGGGACAAAGGACTAACCAGTATAAAAACTCAAAAATTATAACAGCAAAACAACAGAGGGGAAACAAACAGGCACATAAAATCCCTCTCAACAAAAGATTCCCCCCAGGCACTTCCAAGCCATTGAATGCTAATCAAGGTGATCAGCTGAAACATTCACACCTAGCCCCAGCAGACAAAAGTCCTTTGTCTCACCCTGGTCATTCCACAGATATATAAACCCATTTTTCCTACTTCCAACAGACCTCACTACCTCTGAGGATGCTTGCCATAGATGCAGGCGAAACGTCAGGAGAAAAATTGCCTCCAGAACATGGCCATATAGCCCGAGAAAAACAACAGAGGGGAAACAAACAGGCACATGAAATCACTCTCAACAAAAGATTCCCCCCAGGCGCTTCCAAGCCATTGAATGCAAATCAAGGTGATCAGCTGAAACATTCACACCTAGCTCCAGCAGACAAGAGTCCTTTGTCCCACCCTGGTCATTCATTCCACAGATATATAAACCCATTTTTCCTAGTTCCAACAGACCTCACTACCTCTGAGGATGCTTGCCATAGATGCAGGCGAAATGTCAGGAGAGAATGCCTCTAGAACATGGCCATATAGCCCGAAAAAACCTACAACAACCCAGTGATTCCAGCCATGAAAGCCTTCGACAATACACAAAACCACTTGTCATACTCCCAGCCTGGCTTTGGATGCTTTTGGACTTCCCACACACCCAGAAAATCCCAACTCTATTTTTCTATTCAGTTCTATTCAAACCTTCAGATGCAAGGCTTAGTTATTTATTTGTTGTGTCAGAGCAACCAGTCCATTATATTACATTATTAACAGAACAAAGCAAACAAGCAGACAAATACAAAACTTGTGAGTTTGGTAGTTGGGTTAAATGTCCTTTGACCAGTATCTGCACTATAAGGTTTTCACTTGGAACGCCTACAGGTCGTCCGAGTGTCTGTGCCGCATAGTGAGGGTCCTACTTGAGTAGCATGTGGTGGACACAGGGCTCAGGTTGCATTGCAGCAGGTGGTCTGTGGTTTGCTCCTCTCCACACTCGCATGTCGAGGATTCCACTTTGTGGCCCCATTTCTGAAGGTTGGCTCTGCATCTCGTGGTGCCAGAGCGCAGTCTGTTCAGCGCCTTCCAAGTCGCCCAGTCCTCTGTGTGCCCAGGGGGGAGTCTCTCATTTGGTATCAGCCATTGGATGAGGTGCTGGGTTTGAGCCTGCCACTTTTGGACTCTCGCTTGCTAGGGTGTTCCAGCGAGTGTCTCTGTAGATCTTAGAAAACTATTTCTTGATTTAAGTCGTTGACGTGCTGGCTGATACCCAAACAAGGGATGAGCTGGAGATGTCTTTGCCTTGGTCCTTTCACTATTGGCTGTCAGGTGGTGCAATACCGGCTAAGCAGTGTAATTTCTCCAGTGGTGTAGGGCAGAGACGCAGAGTCAATGATGTGCCTGCCATTGTTCTCTTGTCACCCTGGATACAGCTTAAGCCCCTCCCGGTTTATGGAACCCCTCGGCCTGGGCAGCAGCCGGAGCCGCCGGCGGAAGGGCCGCTCATTGGTCGCGGTCGCCAGAGAGGAGGAGGAGGAGGAGGAGGAGGAGGGCTGCCTGCACAGGATGCGGCCAAGGGTAAGGAGAGGCTCACGTCCCGTGGGGATCTTCCTCAATACCCATCACAGGGTTTTGCCCCTCATCTTCAGGGGCTTCAGCTAATTTAATTTCCAAAGGAAGAGTGCTGCTTATATTACACAAAGTGTTCCTGTCCTCATCAGGGAACAGACTTTTCCTGTTTCTGTGAAATTCAGGTAGAATTTTTAAAAGTCTATGATTATTCTTTTATACCCTTAAATAACTCTCAAAGCGTTAAAATGAAAACCAGGCTGTCATTGTGGTCCCGACTCCTGTTTGCTTCTGGTGTTTGAACAGTGCACCTGCTGCACAGACTGCTTTCTGACTGGACCTTCTCCGCGTCCTTCATCACCCTAGCTCTGACCTTCTCTGGGACTCAGTTTAGAGGTGGTGATGATGTGTTGTCACGTTGAAACATCGACCTTTGGGGTTGGTTCAGCTCTGGGCTGCCAAGAGGCGGGGGCTGATCCCTCTTTCCCGCTTGAGTAGGGTGGCAATGGGCAAGGTATTGGGAACGCAAGGGACAGCGGCTTTCCTTTCCCATTCCAGAGCTGGAAATCTCAGCCGGGTTTCAAGAGATGAAGTTGGGCGAGAGAGGCGGGTATAGAAGGAACTATAATGACATCGGAGTCTACACCCGCCAGTCCATTGAGCATGTCAAGGAGGCTAAGACAGGTACGTGATGTTTCTATCAGCTTTTAAATGGGGGGTGTGGTGATACTATTCGTATTGTAAACACAAGTAGAACAATACAAATCTCAACAGCAATCCTGCAAGGTTCCACCAAAAAGAAATGCAGTGGCCTTGCTTTTTGCTGCAACCGTTTGTATACATTTAAAATCTTACGCTTCGCATTCTATTTAACCATAACATTTCAAGTGCATACAAGCCCTGCCCTGCCGGCCCAGCGCCAAAGTGCTCCCGAGGTCTGGCTTTACAGATTTCCCTGAGGCAGCCTGTTCCGCCGTGGAAGGGTTTGCTGCCACGAAGGGCTTCAGGAGTTCAATAACAATCACATTTATTTATCCCTTAGCCAACCATTTCCCACTTGGATCAAGGAGGGAAACGGGCTTATTAAAAAGCATTGGTAGAAACTGTGCATATTAGAAACCATCACTACACCGCTTAGAATTCATGTTTTCAAAGTTCTGTGGATGGGCGTGCCAGCAGCAGAGGCCAGTCTGGATGGCTGTTGTAGATTCAAGCAGCAGATTCCGCTGCCCATTGCCCTCTGCGGCACCTGGAGAGAGAGAAGCCCCTCTTCTGGGTGACGCTGGGCAGGAGGTTGCTTTGAATGGCAGCCCTTTGGCGCTTCATTGTGAAGAGAACAGGGCACTCCCGCCTTGTGCTCTCTCAAAGTGCTGAGTAAAGCAGAGAGAGCCCACGGGAGTCTCTTAGGTGGAATTGTATTCTGGGTTGGCAGGGAGGGGGCCTCCACCCTTCTCAGTGGCTGCTTTTCAGCTCTGCTCATAGAGGGGGAGGTCAGAGAAAGGGGGGTGGGGTCCTTCTGTCTGCTCCTTCCTTCCTTCCTCTGGCTGGGAAGGGCACAGCTGCTCCCAGGTGGCCGTGTTGGTGTCATCCTTCCCAAGGAATGGTGGAAGTGGAGGTGTTTCCTGCCCCCTCCTTCCTCTTCCCTGGATGCCGAGGGAGCTGGTGGCAAAGCGGTTGAAAGGCTGCTGCCCGGCCATAGGTGGCTAATAGGAGCGGACGTGTCTCTGCAGGAGTTTCGGGGACTGCCATCGCCTTGAGCACCAACCACTTCCGCCTGACTTCGCGCCCCCAGTGGACCTTGTACCAGTACCACATTGACTTCAGCCCGCCCATGGAGTCTCGGCGCCTGCGCTGCGCCCTCCTGTTCCAGCACGAGGACCTCCTTGGCAGGACGCACGCCTTTGACGGGACCATCCTGTTCCTGCCCAAGAAAGTGGGGAACAAGGTGGGGGGCCCACCCAGACATTCGGGGTCTCAGTGGGCGGGATGGCCTGGCACCTCTGTGGGGATGCCTCTGACCAATGCAGAGCGCATTTGATTCATCAGTGGTGTAGAACAAGAATGTGAGAGAGGTGGGAGGAAATGGCAGGGCCCCACCGTCCCCCATTCTGCCAGGCAGCTGAGGCACGGCAGAGAGTGTGCGCTTCACTGCAGCTGCTCCCTCTGCATCCGTATTGGCTATTCCACACGGACAGCATCCCAGGCCTCCTCCTCCGTGCAGTGCCCTCCCCAAAATGCCTTGTTCCTCTTCAGGGAGCTCCAGAGACTGAGGTGCAGCCAAGGGCTCAGCCTCCACCTGGAGCAGGGGCTCCTGACTCCTGGGAAAGAGAAGACCCTCTTCTTTGGCCCCTCTGCTCCAGGAGCACACACTCCCTGCCCTCAGGGCATGGGAACAGGCTCTCAAAGAGCAGACCAGCAGGGCAAGCACATCTCTTCCTGAGGGCTCTGGGGACCCCTCGCTTTGTGCCCAGGCACTTGCACGCATTGCGCCCCAAAACCTGGAGGGTCAGGAATCCCGATGTCTGTATTTCCAGAGCATAGTGTTCCCAGAAGGAAGGCCTGTGTGTGCCCCTGGCTTTTGTGTTTCAGCTGGGAAGGGCGACAAGCACAAAGGACCGAACTGAGCCCGGCAGCCCGGGGTCGTCTGTGTTTGCGTCCTTTTGCATCTTAGTCAAGGTGTCAGTGCGGCTTCTGTTGATGTTCTTTAGGTGACGGAAGTGTACAGCCAGACCCGTCAGGGAGAGACGGTGAAGATTATCATCACCTTAACCAATGAGTTGCCATCGACCTCGCCAACGTGCCTGCAGTTCTACAACATTATTTTCAGAAGGTTGGCTCGGATGCCTAGAATTCCCGTTAGGAAAAGCTCTCTCAGGCATAGGCCTGCAAGCGTGCTTTGCAGCAAATGTTCCTTCTCTATGTTTTGGAGGCCCGTCTTCCTAGATTCTCTGCTGCTTCAGGGCAGGAAACTGGCATGCCTCCTCCTTTTAGAAAGCTGTGTCAGGAGTATCCCATAATGAGTCAATGGCTCTTCTTGCCCCTCTTCCAATGTCATGAATATTACCATATCCTTTCCTCCCTCCTTGGAGAAGCACCTCTTAGGCCAGACCCTGCTTTCCTGCAGCCCTTCCAATGCATAGTTCCATAACGCCAAAACTTCAAAACACCAAAATGCCAAAACACAATGCCAAGGACCAGATTTCTGTTTTCCCTACAGCAGAACCTGACTCCCCGCATAAAATCCAAGACTCCAAAAGTGCACTTCTTCTTCCTCTTCACTTGAGAAAGAAGCCTCAAAGTGACTAGACGGCTTCCGTGCCAATCTGCCACTCTCCATAGGTACACTCTCTCTCTCCTGCCCATGGAACAGAGCCTAGCGGGTGAGCCAGTCTCCTCAGGTCTGCCACACTTTTGCAGCATTATTTGAGCTGTAGTCTTTATATTAGGAATATTCGCTTGATATTGTCCCAGAGTTGGTTGTAACACTGAATATAGAACGGACTCTCATCCCAGGATCCAATCTCAGTGTTAATAGGGTCCAGATGTTGAGATCTCTTCTTGATTCTGGTGTTAACAAAAACACAAGGCTTGTCGATCTGACATTCTTTCTTCTTAAACATAAGGAATGTTGTTAAACATTTCTGTTAGAGTCAGATGTCCCGGACGTTTCTTAGGAGGAGTAAATTGATCTCATTAGCGAAGTCCATTCAAGCATGGATTATAGTTATCTCATTGCTGGCTGCATTGCCAATATCATAAGTCAGGGATGGGCTCGAAATTGGACCATGTTGTAAAGGATTTATAGATGTGTTAAGATTTGCAGTAGCCCCGACTAATCTCTTAGGTAAATCCTTCTGGACTTTCCACAAACAATTACTCAATACTCCTAGAGCCACACATTGACATGATTTGGTCTCCCATTCAATTTCCCACAATAGATTAGAATTTTATCGGTCTAATATTGGTCGAGAAGTCTGCACCATTGTACGATTGCTGTTAGGATGTGCGTATTTCTTGTGATTGCCATAAACCTCCCGTTTCCCACCAAGAGGATTTGACGTGAGCCAGGAACAGTCCCAGAGGAGAGCTGCTTACCTTACAAAAAGGTGCCGGGTTGACTGCCTCGCAGGGGTGAGGATGGCAGATTTTGCCCTGGAGCCAGGAAGTCTCCCCTACAATTCTTTGTCGGAAGTCTGCTCTAATCTGCCTCCACTAACTGCAACAGCGGAAAATGAGGCAGTATTTGAAGTTTCTCAGAGGAGCTATTTTGAAGGGATAGGAAGTGTGACTATCTGCCAGTATCCCCTTCTACCACAGCTCTCACAATCACCTTACTTTCTTTTTCCACCCTCCAGGCCCCAATGTAAATAGGCCTCTCTGGACCTTCCAAGGGCCCTCCGCCCTTCCCTGCCTTTGAGGGACGGGCAGACACTTACAGCCAAGCCTTCCCCAAACGAGCATTTTCCATGGCTGGTACATAGGATGTCATCATATGTTATGATACATAATATACATATACATAACCCGTCTTTTGGGGGTTTTTCTTTTTCAGAGTGTTGAAAATAATGAATCTGCAACAAATTGGACGGAATTACTACAATCCGAGTGACCCCATCAGTGTTCCCAAACACCGGTAATGAATGGGGCACACTCATTGGGGTTTAAAGAGTTTACTATTGGAAGGGCCTTGCTTGAAGGCAACGGAGTCTCCCAGGAAACCCAAGCTTCCATCTCCATTCAGCATGATTTAGTGCCTGAAGGCGCTTTGCGTCTTTGGGGTTCAGAACGACATTGACGGCTCCCGAGGGAGGTCTTCCGTCCATCAGATTCAAGGGAGAAAGCTCAGTTTGGAAGAAGGCTGGACTTGAGATAGCGACAGGACCCTCAGGATAGACCCAGAGGCGGGATGCGCTGTCCCCACATGACGTGGAGCTGAAGGGCTGGAGCTTCTTTGCACCTT